AATTCCGAGGCCCCCGCCTCTTAAATGACCCAACTAACATTATTTGACAGAAGCATTAACCAAACACTTTTTTACTTTTTATGTTTTTGGCTGGTGGATGCTCTTGTGTGGTTTGCTCTTTCTTTCCTATCAACCATGTATCGTCTTTATCTCCCCCCCCCCCCTTTTTTTTTTTCTTAAAACGTAGATGTTACTATCTCCAGTAACACCTCTAATCGTCAGGACTTATATTTTATGATATGACCTATCTGTGTTGAAGTGCCCTAAAACTATTACTAAAACTAAACTGAAGCTTACTTTGTTTTTGTGGGTGGTTGGCAGGTGCTCTGGTGTGGTTTGCTTTTTCTTTCCTTTGAAACATCTATCGTCCTTATCTCCTTTTCTTCTTTTTTATGTTTGTTACTCTCTTGTAACACCTCTAATCTTCTGGCGCTCATATTAGTCATATGACCTTATGCAGTTGCGAACGCCGTAAAACCTCTACTAAAACTAAATCTTACTTTGTTTATCTCATCAGGCTGAGTTCTCTCTGGAGGTGGTGGACGAGTCCAAAGGCACCATGATGTTGACCTGTGAAGGCATCGGACACCAGAACCCCTACCTTTCTTCCTAGCCGGACAGGGCGCATGGCAAGCGCAATATGACATCACGACGGTGTTGTCGCTGTCTGTTAGTGACGTCGCGAAGCTGTTTACTGCTGTTGGTGAGGGTACTGGGCCTCATCTGCTAAAGTGAATTAAAAGATACGAGATCACTAATTTTTTTGTTTTAAAATACTGTAAAGCACCTTCAAAATTGCCTATTTTGTGGGTGGTTAGTAAGCGCTCTGTTCCTTCTTTCCTGCCAAACATCTGCTGTCATTGTCTCTATTCCTTTTCTTTGTATGTTGTAATTACTCTCTAGTACTATATACTAATATGACTTATTTGTGTTACAACAACAACAAAACTTACTAAAACTTACTTAAAAACTTGAACACATTTGTGTCTAGTAGGGCGTTTTAGTTTTACTCACACAAAACAACATGAAATCTGTAGAACATGTTGAATTTGAGAGCTTGTCGCAGGAAATGCAATTATCAGTTGATGATACCAATATTTATTACAATGGTTTGTGAGTACGTATGTGTATATTTTTTTGTGTGCAAATATGTAGGCGCGTAGGCTACATGTAGGCCTACACTCTCTCTGTGTGTGTGTGTGTGTGTGTGTGTGTGTGTGTGTGTGAGAGAGAGAGAGAGAGAGAGAGAGAGAGAGAGAGAGAGAGACAGTTTGTGTGTGT